GCTGATTGACTTTTTTGTGCGTCCTGACCTGCTACACATGCCCAGTGAATCTTGTAGCTGTAGGTGAAACAACCTTCTGACAACAGTCAGTTGAATGCAAAAAACACTGCGAAAATGGACAAAATGCCCATTGATCGAAATTGGACGGGCCGCCATTTCCAAACCGGGCCTCATCTGCGAAGTGTTTGAAGAACTTTTAATCACCATGTCATGTAGTTTGTGCTGGTCAAATGTCAGGTGTGTACGGCGAACCCCCTCGGAGGAGTTCGATTTTGAAATGGATTTGTTTTATAGGGAATAAAAACAACAACCAGTAATTGGAAACATGAAGAATGTTGGATTTAGCAAACACCCAGCAGGATAATCAGTCAGTCTCTACTTGCTGCTTCTGTACTTTAATGCTTCAGTTAAAGCCCTCAGTAGGTGGCGCTCTTCACCTGCTAACCTTCAGGTGGAACTCTATAAAGCACCACAACGTCACCTGCTGTCGGTCAGTAGTGAACCTGAGGACACACTGTGTGGGAAACTTTCTTTGTTTTATTACAAATTGATGCACAATTCAAAACATAAAAATCTTAAATACAGTTTTTAACCTTAGAAACAGGCTACCGGCACCGATCAGCGTAAATTTAACAGATGTTTCTATTAAAGAATCTACAAAAGCTCAAGCCGATATCGTTTGATCACAGGCGTTCTGTTGCCATCATGGTTATTGGACTACAGCTGGTTCCGGTCGCTGAAGGGTGTCGGATCATCAGAGCGCCCGAGATGTGCTGCAACATCTTCGTTTGTAAATCTGAAGGCTCACGAGTAGCCGGCGAACAGTGGAGTAGACAAACTGAGAAACAGTGACGCTGGGTGACTTCACACATCCTGTTCTCAGCTCTGATCGTTTTTCTGTGGACAGAAGACAAACAGAGGAACATTAAATAACTGTTTACTTACCTGTGAAATGATGAGAACATTGGGATCAAATGGTTGCCATCACTCATCAAACTTGACTCCGAACTCTACCTTGAGTTTATCCACGACTCCTCCTTTGCGGAAATTGCCAAAAGCTTTGAGGAACTTGGGCGTCGGTGGTTTTTGTCCAAACAGAGCCATGCCTTTGGGCTTCTCCTCGTTGGTTTTAGCACCTGCAGGAGCTTTGGCTTTGGTCAGTTTCCTTCACAATGACAAAACACAGATGGACAATCCTCAATGGGCTGCATATTTACATTTAATTTAGTATTTTATGTCGCATAACAAGGTCTTGACTCTACATAAAATCCCGTCGACTCACCTGCCCTTCCTGGCCAGAACCTTCTGAGACTCTGGGTAGTGGACGAGGATGTCGAACAGATCTTTCTTTTCCAGGACGGAGAGGTTAGCGAAGCCGTGTGCTTTCACGTTAGCCGTGCGTCTGTTTCCTCCATCTTTAGCAGATTGTAGTAAACTGTTCAAACACAAAAGCAGCGTTCCTTAAATAGATTGTTCAGTGTTGTCTGATCATACAATAAAGGAAGTTCTGGTGTTTAATAAGTCATGATGTGATGGAGATAGTAGAGCTGGAACCGGAAATGCTCATGACTGACAACAAACCCATTATAAAATAATGCCAGACCAGCCTGGAAGGCCTTGAACCTGAACACTGGGAGGCTTGTGCACCTGCAGAACAACTGGCTCTGAAGTTTGAGGAGACGCTCACCTGGACATCATCTGTATCTGTCCGGCTACAGCTGACTCTACTCCATGATCTCGAGAGCTCATATTTCCTTTGCTCTTGCAGAATTCATTTGGTCCCCTTCTCATTTAAATGAATCTCCACCCCGCCTTGCCCACGCTGAGCCGGTCACCACTGTTTGTCTAATATTGGCTGGGTTTGATACGACGACTACGGTTGTTGACTTCGCTGCTGCATCGTGTTTCGTTACTCTAATTGGTTGCAAGTCAATTAAACTGCATCCAGAAGCATTTTGGTCTTGGAACCTTTGAATCACAAATGAATCTAAACCAGGGATCTCCAACTCCGGTCCTCGTGAGCTACTGTCCTGCAGGTTTTAGACGTTACTGCAACACACCTGACTCACATGAATGGATCTCCAACAGCTTGTTGTCAAGTTCTACACAAGTCTGTTAATGATCCATTAATGTGAGTCAGGTGTGTTGCAATAACGTCCAAAACCTGCAGGACAGGAGACTGGACTTTTTAGGACTTTAAAGAGACAGAAGCCCCAGCTTCAGATGGAGGCTGAGAAGAAGCGCTTCAGAGATGTATAGTATGAGGACAGTATGTTTTTTCAACACCAAATCATGAAAACATAATGTCGTAGACCCCCTAAAATAAGAAGCTATAAACCTGTAAATGTGCATAATATGGGCTCTTCTCGTAGATTAATGGTAGCAACTGGACTTGCTTGAGTTCCTTGAAGACGTTCCACCTCTCATCCAAGAGGCTTCATCAGCTCTGACTGACTAGTTGGGAGTTCCAGATATCCTGAAGGAGACATTAACACCTGAGTTTAGGTTTCAGTTGGGGGTTTGTTGCTCCTGCCCCTTGTTATGCGAGTCGTTAGTGCTCCCCCTGACACAGTGAGGTTCGTTAGGGTCTGTTGTGGTGAACTCCAAACGAGTCAGAACTGATGAAGCCTCTTGGATGAGAGATGGAACGTCTTCAAGGAACTCAAGCAAGTCCAGTTGCTACGATTAATCTACGAGAACAACCACGACCTGGAGAATCTTCACAGACAACATGGGCTCTTTAATTTGGCAGAATTATTATGATTTTTCCCACTTATTTAAAAAAAAAAAAAAATCTGTTGTTTAAACTCTGTAAAATTTGCTTTTGCTTCATGTCAGAAAACCTGAGACAAACACTTTTTCCAGTACGTGTCATCAAGACCCGTACTGGGTGATAAAATGATCAAAATGAAGCAAACACATGGACTGGATGATTCTCTTCTAGCTGCGTCCTCTGCAGACTAACCTGATTTCTCCGAACACACATCCAGCCTTCAGCGTGACGAACACGATGCTGTTGTCGGGTCCTCCCACCACCTGCACCGCTCCACTCTTAATGATGTACATCTCTTTACCGATGTCGCCCTGCAGAGGGAGGCGGCCCAGAGGTCAGGACATGCTGCTGGTCGTGTCATAATGATGAACACGCTTCATCCATTCATCCACTGTCTCACACACGCTCACCTTCTTCACCACAAAGTCTCCGGGTAGATAAATGATGGACTTGAGCCTCAGCAACATGTCCACCAGCATCTGCTGGTCACAGCCCTGAAGCAGACGATGTTCTGTTAGCGCTGCTCAGATGGATGTGGAAGGTGGGGAGTGTGTGTGTGTTTAGAGGACGCCTTGTATCACCTGAAACAGTGCGATCTTCTGGAAGGTGGCCAGGTTGATGTCCACTGCGATGGCGGTTTTCATCACCAGAGGCATCTTGTCCAAGAGCTCCGACTCATCTGGAGACGACAGATTATTACTAATAAACCTCTTGTGGTGACTCTTCTGCATGACCAGATAGGTAGAGAATAAACCTGCACATTTTTATTCAGTGATCTTTTTTAGAATCCACTTCAGTGGTCGCCCCACCATCATGAATATCCTTTGAAGCTGCTCGTCATCAATGAGTTTATACGACTAGTTTATGGTTTTTTTATTCTTCTGACAAGGATTGCAGGATGAGGTTCTCACCCAGCATGCCCTGAGCGGCCCAGGTGTAGTTGTACCACGTCCGGACCCTGTTCTGGACCATCTTGGGGATGGTGTAGGTGTTCATGTATTCAACACATCCATCCATCGAAGCCCGGAAATACGTCTGACCTGCCGTCGCTGCTCCGATGACGTCTCTCATCTAACGGACAGGAATAGAGAGAAATAAACTTTAAGTGGAATCTGTGTACTTTATGACAGCACGGATTAAAAATATCTGTATTTAAATGGCGTCACACGACACGATAGCTCGGAGTGAAACCATTCCCCTACCTGTCCGATCAAACTGGAGAACACGAAGACGCCGATGAAGAAGTTTGTCATCTGAAACAAGATCTCAAAGGTGGTAACAGGCTCCGGAAGACCCCCGATGTTGATCAGACTGCGCACCGCAAAGTAGTAACACCGCAGGTATCTGTAGAATAACACATAAAATAAGATTGATAGCTACAGATAGCGTGAAATAAAACATCGTCATTTAATTTTGACAGGACGGACAATAAAGTTTTGCTGTTTTTCTCTGTGTGGAGCTTCTACAGCTGCTTCAAGTCAAAGTTTCACAGGTTTTAACAAAGAGAACAAAAAAATAAAAGGCAAGAATAACACAAAACTGTAGGCGTAGGAAAAAAAAGTATAAATACAACTTTCTAAAACAATAGTACTATTCATATATTACACATTTATATTATAACGCTACACTATCAATCCTATAAACTGAGGTGGAACATGCTGTAAAGAAATGATCATATGTGGCCATAATCTAATAAAATAAAGGCTGAAACTGAAGTTAAGTTTAGTACCGCTGTTAGCGCTGCCAAAAAACAGCAGACTAGTTAAATTTAAGGCTTCACTCGGTTTTTCCAGCTGCACTGTGAAGGATTACGACTGTCTTCAGTTTACACACAAAACACCAGAAAGGTTTGTGTTCTTAGCTTATGAGCATCGTGTTTGTCTGTATTTGTGTTTTAGATAAAGGGACAGGTTGTGTCTAAAATCACTCGTTCGCTGCTCCACTTTCACTCTTGTCTTCATCACAGACGTCAACATTTTACAGTATATCTAGATTGTAAAATCAGTCACATCGCATCGTTGAATTGTTTCTGGGTTTCCAGGGAATCCTTGGTTTGTATATATATACATTTGTAGGGTCATAACTTTACTTTAAAATTAGCCAAATTAATCCCAGTAATCATTGATACTGTACGGTATTATCCTTATATTAGCTTTATATTCAAACTGTAATTAATAATACCAAAGGATCTAATGTTAAAATAGACAGGTTATTTAATAATACTGTTGGATCTAGTTATATTATGGTCGGGTTGAGTTGTGTTTTCCATCATTTTGCAGGGTTTCAATCCTTAATAGTAAATTACTGATGCAAATTCACACCATAAATAACACTATAGGGTCTTTAAACTTGCTAGGTTCATATGTAACACCAGTCATATTAGTTTTTTTTCTTCGGTGCAACAACTGTGCTTTCTGTTATTATTTTGCTTGTTGAAACTTTTAAGGACACAATATAGTGAACATATAAACACTCTTGAGTGATTCTGGACACAGAAAATGCATCACGAGGGGTACCAGGACCACGGAGAGCTGCAGCTGTGACACCAAAGCTCAACAACAACAACAACAACAAAAGAACCAGTACATACGCTGTGCCCTCTCCGTCGTACACCCACGTGGTCGACGCGAGACCCTGGTAGACTGAGGCCACGTAGTAGGCGCAGGCGTTGAGGTGGAGCATGTAGAGCAGGTAGCCGGTGGTGCGCGCGACTCTGCAGAAGATGAGATGGACGTGAAGTGATCTCTGTGAATATTACACTGGGAGCAGCACGTTCTACAGATGATGAAAATGTGAGTGTAGATAGATATTCTACAATTCTACAATTTCATTAGCATACGCTTTTATCCAAAGCGACGTACATCTGAGAGCAGATCCAACACAAACAAGGATCTAGTCAGGAGAACACAATCTAGATAAGAGCCACAGAACAAGCTCAAATGTGATAATGTGTTGATGCCAACAGCAGGCTGTAGGGAGGTAATAGGATCTTCTTTATTTTGTTTGTTTCCAGTCTGTCAAGTGCAAAGGTGTTCAGTGAAGAGCTGGTCTTCAGCAGAATCAGCAGATTGAACAGAGTTTGGTGACTCGTTCCACCACCGCGGAGCCACAGAGGAGGAAAGTCCAGCTATCGACCTCAGGCCCTGTTGTGGTGGTTGGATCAGGAGGTTTTTGTTGGTCAAGGGAGTGTAGATCTGAATGAGAGAGTTCAGGTAGGAGGGAGCTGCTCTCGTTGTGGTTTTGTAAGCAAGTGTCGTGGTTTTGAATTTGATGCAGGCAGCAACTGGAGGCCAGTGAAGCGATCTGAACAGCAGGGTGACATTGTGCTGCTTTTGGCTGGTTGAAAGCCAGACGTGCTGCATTCTGGATCATCTGCAGAGGTTTGACCGCGGATACAGGAGGCTGGACCATTATGGGAGCTTGGAGCAGGACTTGTGCTGCATGTTCAGACAGGACAGGTCTGATCTTCCTGATGTTGTTCGGGGCAAATCGACACGACCGAGCAACAGAGGCCACATGAGCCTTGAAGGCTAGCTGGTCATCAATTATGACACCCAAGTTTCTGGTAGATTTTGTGAGTTTGATGTTGTAACATGCACACAACAATATATGTATACGACAGTACGTTTCATCAAGAAATGGATAAAAAAACAAGTCTTCACACCAGGAATCAGTCCTTGTTGGGGAGTCAAGGAGAACAACAACAAACAACATTTGAGATAAACTGTTATAAACTTCATGCATGAATTGAATTCAAATATTCTCTTGCTAAAGTTGCAGAGCTTTAAAATCTAAACGAACATTCGGCCTCTTGCCACAGCGTTCACACGGAGCTAACGAAGCCCGTCAGCAGCAGGTGAACCTCTGTCAGGTGTCCGGTGGAGCTGAAGGCAGAAAAACCTGGAAAAGATTCTGATGGTTCCAAAAGAGAACGACGACGAGCTGATTTATGAACTTGTTGCCGTCCAACTGTTCTTTTAAAAATAGTTTATGGAATGTGTTTTTCCCAAAACGCTGTTAAAACAATGATTAAAATGTTTTGTTCAGACGTTTTGCACCCGTTTGCAGACGTGAGCACCTACCTCCAGATGTAAGCTTTGGCCATGACGCTCTCGAGTCGATCGCTGAACTCGAAGAAGGCATGGACCTGGAGCCGACAAGAAAACGGCAAATGAAAAATATGTTTTCTCAGATTTTCCTGCATTCGCTTCGTTAGTAAAAAGCCGCCTGCCTACCCTGGCGAAGCGGTTGAGTCGGTAGATGGAGGAGAAGTTAAAGTGCAGACAGAGCAGGTCGAAGGGGAGGATGGTGAAGATATCCATCTGCACAGAGGGGAACAGAAGAAACTCACAATTTTGCAAATTCAGCTGAGATTCCAGGGAAGAGGGAAGCTTGTTCAGTTGTGTTCAGTACGGTACTGGGACACAAACAGAAATAGAAGAGGTATTAAAACAGTTTGCTTGGTTGGGCCCCTCCAGAGCACCACGAACCACATCTGAGACGTCGTGATGATGATTAAAAGGGAATTGTAATATTTTTTAAACTGGACAAAGACTGCATTTGACATCTTTTAACCTTCAACAACGATTTGAACAGAAACATGTGAGGGATCGGTCTTAGCTGGGGACAACATTTACACGTAAAGTAAACAAAATTGTAGTGAAGTAAAAGAACGTTTCCCTCTGAAATCTGCACACTCTCACCTTGAACCTCTGTGACTTGCGGTAATGCACCTTGGTCATGGCTCGGTCTTTCTGCGGGCGACAGAAACATCTCAGTTAACTCCACAGTGCTGACTAACAGTGACGCCTCGTGATGCTTGGCCACTCACTATGATGTCTCCGGCTTTGACGAACTGAAGCCGAGGCTGCCAAAGGACGATGTCGATCACGTTCACGAGGTCGCTGAGAACGTCGCAGATTATCCACGCCGAGTTGGCGGCCTCGTTGTGGTAGGGGAAGGCCAGCCGGGCGGAGCAGAACCAGACGTTGTAGTTGTACGCCACCGCGACCACCGTCAGCCAGGAGATGTAGCGACGATCTGGAGGGAGGAGGACGCAGAGATTTGAAGTATTTACACTTTCAAACAACACATGATTTAATCTGAGTTGGACTTCAGCTACCTGTAAAAGGATCGATGGTGCTCCCTAAGACGGAATCCATCTTCTCCTCGATGGGATGGAAGAGGACGTCGAAGCAGGAGCAGGAGATGTCCGGGAGGATCTTCGCCTTCTTCCTGGCCTCCTCCGCCAGACGCTCCTCCTCGGCTTTCTTCTCGGCCTCCAGCCTCTTCTCCTCATCCTTCTTCTTCTTCTCCTCCGCCTTCTTGGCTGCTTCTTCGGCCTTCTTTTTATCCGCCTCTTCTTTCGCTATCCGCTCCTCCTCCTTCAGTCTGATGTAGTCGTCCTTCTGCAGGATCGGCGCTGAACGAGAAAGAGGTGGTGGGTTAAAGAGTCCTGCCTGCTGGTGTGTTTCAGTGTGTTTGCCTCCATACTTACTGACTGGCGGGGTGATTTCTGGAGACGTGGCGTAAGGATCGATGGCTTTCTCTGCCAGCTCGGCTGAGCGCTCTTTTAACTTCTTGACCAACCCTCTGAGGGTGTCGTCTGTGTAGCGGAAGTAGACGACAGGTGGAGGAGGAGGAGGTTCTTCACTGGAAACAGGAATGAAAAGTTAAAGCGGAGAGGAGGGCAGGAGCAGAGGCATCGGTGCAAATGAACGGTGTGTGAAAGGAAACAACATTCCCCAAAAGTGGGACAGCTTTTCCAGATGTAGAAAATAGGAAATGTCATTTTTATAGACGATAACTTCCTTCTACACGGTCTGCACAGAATGCAATCGATTCTTCGAAATCACCTCCATGTGAATGCTCTCCCTGATCAGTCACAGACGCCACTAAGCTCCTAATCTTCTTTCCTGATTTAGAAGTCACATGCGGCAAGTCACACTGCCATCGCTGTCACTGCAGCGTAGACGCAGGAGGGATGTCCACACGTCTTATTGTAAGGAAACAGTGAGGAGGAGCTATGAGGACGTGCTCTTGTGTTTACAACGCAGAGCTGATGTAGTTCACTGACACCTGAAGGCACGAGGAGTTCATCAGAGCTCAAGCAGGGTCGAGATATTTGTAGTCAAGTCTGTTTTTTAAATCTGCAAATCACCGGTTGAGTCTAAATGGGTCTAAATGGCAACAAATACACAGCGAGCAGTCGACAACGTGAAAGCCCTGATAGAGTGAATAGGTAATCTCATTAGTACGGCACCTGTCAAAGGCGCTCACTGCACTGGGACACGTTGAATCCAAAGGAACTCATCAGATCTTTAAAAAACCACATGAGAGATTTGGTAGCGACTACATGTCACACTTGTTGTTGCTTACATCTAGCATGTATTCTCCTTATGTTGTTATGTGCTGTTTGTTTTTAATTGTTGTAACTTAAATGTTATCAGGCTGCAGTCTTGGCTTCCCTCAAAAAAGAGCTCAACGGGACCGTCCTGGTTAAATACAGGCTCAATCATTTTTATTTTTATTTAAAAAGGCAGCAAGTCAGCAGTCAGTTGTTGAAGCTGGTGTGTTGGAGGCAGGACAAACCTGTGGCTCAGCTAATTACAGAGTAGGTGGTTTAATCCTCTCTGCAAGCAGGACTGTCCCCGACAAGACACTGAGCCTGAAGCTGCTCTCAATGGCAGAAAAGGAAAAGCGGTCCACTATGAGAAGACGGTGAGCCAGCACGATGCTCAAGTCCTGCCTTCATGTGGATGTTGACAACTACCTAAACTACCGACCTTCATGGCAGCGGTATCCCCTGATGGCTATGACCTCTGTCAGCAGGATAACATACCCTGTTGCACCACAAACATTGTTCAGGAATAGTTTTTGTTAAAAGGGGTTGACTTGGCCACCACTTTTCAGGATCATAATCCAGTCACACCATCTGTGGGACGTGCTGAATAAAACCAGTCTGGTCCATGGAGGCACCCAGTCACCGTACACGAGCAATTTCCCCTCTGGGATCAATAACGTCTTTCTGACTCTGATCTGCTGTTGAAGTGTTCTGATACCACAGAACACCTTCAGAGGTCTGAGGAGCCTTGACAGGTTGGAGCTGTTTGGCAGCACAAAGACAACCTGCACAATATTAGGCAGACAGTTACATGCTGTGCCTCATCGTTGGGTTTCTCGGTGAACTGTAACGCTCTGCTGGGAACCTTCTCACTCATATGGATGTTACTCAGACACATACCACCCACCTAAACACTGCTGCAGACCACGTACACCCCCCATGGCAGCAAAAAGCACAAAAACTGCTCAATAAAGGCTCGAGGAGCACGACAAGGAGCCCGAGGTCAATGCAAACTATCTGGAGCCCAATCCAGTGGAGCATTCGCAGGGCGAACAGGAGCAAGCTGGGGATGAAAGAACCTCATTTCTCATCCTGTCCTCTGAGGCTGCTGATGCATGAAATGTTCAACTCCCTGATTCAGGCGTTTGACGGTTAACCGACGTGGCTTCCTGCCTTTCACTAGAACCCACAAAGGTTTAGCCGCTTGGTGCATTTAGCCCGTGCTGCCCTTTTTATTGTCTTCTTTTACAAGCTCATGTTCTGCCCAATAAGCCACATAAGTGTCTCATCTGAAGGACCGGAGCTGCATTCGGTAAAAACATCAAGGTCAAAATGACTTAATTCTGAAGGCTGCATCTTTCCTTTAATTCACCAAAAGTTAAAGATGAATTAGGATTCATGCTGGATAAAATGTGGTGCATTCTTACCCTTCAGCCCCCTCTGGATTGGCAGGAGCAGCACCTGCAGGAGCAGCACCTGCAGCAGGAGCTGGAGCAGCAGCAGGAGCTGGGGCAGCAGCAGCAGCAGGAGCTGGGGCAGGTGCAGGTGCAGGAGCTGGAGCTGGAGCGGGTGCAGGAGCTATAAGAAAAATATAGCAGCACTATTGAGTCTGTTTCTAACTGAAGATAAACACTGACATCAGCAGGTGATCCCGTCTAAGACATAAAAACAGACAGAAGACAGTCGTAGAGTTTTATCACGACAACGTGTGAAACATGACAGAAAAGTGCACTTTGTGTTTTACTGTAATGTGTTTCCTAACGGCGCTGCATGATGGAACGTGACAAAAAGCATTTGAAGCTAACAGTTCACGCTGTGATCTGGCAGAGGAGGATATCGTTTCATGTGTCATTTGAAAGCTGGAGCTGCAATCGAACATCATCCACGAGGGAAACTTCTTTCTTCGCTTTGTGCAAAAAAGCAAAAACACACAACGCTTTGTTCTCCACGATCTTCCTGAACAGATGGAAGTGTACAAGGTGCATTTCAGTCGCTTGATTTTCCTTAAATCACTCGATCGTGTGGACTGTCCGGTGTTTCATGCCAGTTAACATAATTCTTTTTATCTGTGTGTCTAAATGAGGACAGATGGACCGGTTACTGATCCAATAGTGGCCATGTTGGCTCAAAACACACCCAGAAAAAATGAAAAGGAAGCGAGTCTATAACAGCAGGAAACAGCACAGCACAGGGATGTGAAGGCAAACACAACCAGTCACACTGCATGAAGACCTTCACCACGCTGGGCCGACGTATCCGACACAATCAACCAAACACTCACACCAAACAGACCAACACCTCACCTGGTGCAGGCTCCTCCTTCTTGGCCTCTTCTTCTTTCTTCTCCTCTTCTTTTTTCTCCTCCTCCTTCTTTTCCTCCTCCTTCTTTTCCTCCTCTTTCTTTTCTTCCTCTTTCTTTTCCTCCTCTTTCTTTGGCGTCTCTTCTTTTTCATCTTTCTTCTCAGGAGGCTTTTCCTCCTGTAGACACACAACAAAGGAACGCAGTCAAAAGCTGTAGGACTTTTCTTTTTGTGTGTTGTGGGTCCAAAAGTCTACATGCAGGTTTTCACACTTGCTAATGTCCTCGTGTGCCCGTATAGTTAATCCTCAGTTCCTCAAACTCAAGCACAAAAAAGCAAGTCCACTTCCACAGGACCGGCCTCCCTGTTAAGACACACTCGCTGCTCTCCTGCTCACCAGAGCCAATCTGCTTCACCTTAACTCACCTTGTGTGAACTCAGCCTCACAAACACACAACAGACACTGAAACTGACCAGAGTTTAGTTTAAATGATTCACCTACTGCAGGAAAAGTCTTTAAGAAACAGCACAAATTAATTAAAAAATAATAATAATTAGCAACAAATAAAATGTGCTGATTTTACAGAAGTGTTTTTAAAACACATTTCCACTTCAGGTCTGCTGTTTTCAAAGGTAATAAACGAGGTCTTACCTTAGCCGGTGGTGCCGGGGCTGAAGGTGGAGTTGCGTCTTTGGCAGGCGGGGGCTCCGGAGCCCCCATCCACTTCTTCAGCCTGCTGAACATGTTGGGCGTCTCTGTGGGCTACGACCCGACCGTCCACCTCTCCTCCTGCTGCTCGGAGCTCAGATTCCTTAAAAGAACCCTCTGGGATCCTTCAAGTGTTCGTCTCACATCAAAACAACAGACCGGGGCAATTAAACTTCCTAGAAGCATTAATTCCCTCTGGACACTCCCCCCTCTCTGCTGGAGCCAACACCGGATCAGCCGTCACAGCCACCAGGCGCTGCTGATGAACATTTAAAAAGCTCCACCACCTTCTGACATGTTGGCAAATCAATATTAAATAACTAATATGGAAAAGGATCAATTAATGAAGGATGCTGCTTATTTTATCATGATTACACACAGGGTACTTATTATTCTATACAGTCTGTTGAAAAAATAAAAAAAGAGAATAACTAAATCAGCATCATCTTTAGCTTCGTGTTTGAAACAATAAAGGACATTTTCAAATCTACTGAACAACAGAATAACATATGAAGTAAACCGGAGTGACTCGTGGCACTAAAGGCTTGTCATAAAATTAGACTCTGCTGGTTATTTCAGGCCCTTCTAGGTGTGGAGTCCACAAATAGAGGGAGCGCTTAGTTAATCAGCTGACTAACGGGATTAGTTAAGAACTGAACTGTGCTGACATACAGATGCACAGGTACTACAACAAAAGACGGAATTATATGGACATTATAAGTAAATCAGGAAATTTATTTTAGCAGGTACAGACGGGCATAAAATCAGTCAAATAATAGATAGTGTCACAATTAAATTTTCTCATGATTACAGATAATCTCTGTGTGGCTTTTTACAACTACTGTGCAGCGGAAAACTGAATAAAAATGTGAATCTGCAAATGTATTCATTCAGTGTTTAGCCAGCAGTGTCCACTAGGGGGCAGCAGTCGGGATTCTAATATCGCACATCATAAATAAATTGTTTGTTTGTTGCAGACAGCTTTTTTCACACAGCTGCAGATTTGAAAGGTGTCACTTAAAACATTTACTTACAATTACAACAAATTAATTTGCTTAAAGCTTGAGGTTGAAGTGAACCGTTAAAGTTTGAATGAGTCCGTCTCATCCCAGAGAAAAATCTTAACATCAAAGAAAACACTGTACAAAAGAGCAGTAAGAGGCTGAAAACAAAACTGTACATTCACTCCCAAAAAGGAGCGATAAAGAAAAAGTGAAGCCGGCTCGTTGTCGTCCTCACTGACCACTCGCAGTCTGTGGAGGAAGAACAACACACAACACAGATTACAGGTTAATGTTAACCAAGTAGAAACAGTTCCTTTGAGGACAACAGTGACGTGTGGTTACCTTCATTTTATCGATGATGTTTCTGTTGATGTTTCCTCCGAAGGCTCGCAGCAGTTTGGGAGTCGGCGGTTTGGGTCCGAACAGCGCCAGTCCTTTCTTCTTCTCCTCCTCGGCCTTGGCTGCTGCCGGGCCTTTAGCCTTCATCAGTTTTCTACACAAAAAAAACCACAATTACTGCCTTCAACAACCAGTCAGGTCGTTCTTTACATCCACATCTGTCCAGGTTTCACCTTCTTACACATAAATGTCATCACTTTGTTTGACATTTGTGCGAGCGTTTGTCGTGATGACCGTATGAATTTGTGCATTGAGGCCACAAACGTGCTTTGTGGGGTAACAGTGACCTTCCATCCATCCATTCATCCTCCATTAACCTCAACATGTTTTTGGACCTTGTGGGAGGAAGCTGGAGAACCCGGAGAGAACCCACGCTGCACGGGGAGAACATGGAGACTCCCCGGGTGTTCTCACCGGGACGTGAACCAGCGACCTTCTAGCTGTGAGGTGACGATGCTAACCACCGATCCACCGTGCAGCCCGTAACAGCAACCTTCAGCCACCCAGATCTAAACTGTTGGTCCTTGTGTCTGAGTGAATGTTGGTGCCAACGTTGAAGAAATTCGCTCCATGTTGTCCAAGATATTCACAAGAATGGGATGCAGGTACGTAAACATAATACCTCCATGCTGGTAACAGCTGAGGCCAAATTCAGTATGTTTGGCAAAAACTGGCAATAAACGACAAAGACATGAAGCAAATGTGCTCCGATGCTCTAAAGCAGGAACCGCTAACACTTGGTGTGGAAAAACATCTGAAGAACAGTTAGATGTGACTGATGTCTGAATAAGTGAGCAGCTCTGCACCAAGTCAATATGTCTGATTTGTTTAATTCAGAATGGCTTCTGCATCCACAGTGACCACCACTGTGATCTGATAATCATCACATACAGGGTTGTTCCTGCTCTGAATGGGCCTCTGCAAGGCGACTACACACAACAACAAGCAGCATTGGTTAGTGTCCAGTAAAACCAGTGAGTCTCTGTGACCTTGTTTACTGGAAATCTGTGCACATCCCTGTTATTTATGGCCTTTTGATGAGCTGAAGTATTTATCATGCCTGACAAAGTGAATCCCTGCCTGGCTGAAACCTCTCCTGTGTGGCACTAAAAAAGTGCCAGAAAAGCCCCGACAGCTGCTGTAATCACAGCAGAACACATCAGTAAAGAAACCCAAAGTGTTTGCTTCAGGCCCACGACTCACCTGCCCTTCCTGGCCAGAACTTTCTGAGACTCTGGATAGTGGACCAGAATGTCAAACAGGTCTTTCTTCTCCAGGACAAAGAGATTAGCGAAGCCGTAGGCTTTGACATTAGCCGTCCGCCTGTTGCCTCCGTCTTTGGAAGACTGCAAGAGACTACGGAGAGAAACACAAGCTTTTATGTTTGTTTAATCCCACGCCTTGTTCTTGGAGTGTGGATCTTAATTGTTTGTCTTGTCATTTAAAAGGATGTGTGAACTAAACCTGCCTGCTGATGTTCATTACAGCCGCTTTTCTGTGTGTGAAATTACCTGATTTCTCCGAACACACATCCAGCCTTCAGCGTGACGAACACGATGCTGTTGTCGGGTCCTCCCACCACCTGCACCGCTCCACTCTTAATGATGTACATCTCTTTACCGATGTCGCCCTGCACAGGTTTGATTCACACAGAAGTTACTGACTGGGTTTTAAAGGGAAGGAGGAATTAACTCTCATTTACTTTGGATGTGCTAATAAACATTATAATCCAGGGTAATCATATAATCATAACGTTAGCTCACTTTTTTCACGACAAAGTCTCCGGGCAGGTAGACGATGGACTTGAGCCGCAGCAACATGTCCACCAACATCTGCTGGTCACAGCCCTGTGGGAACATGAGGAGATGTTTAACTTTGCAGTCTTTGGTATCCTTCAGTGTTTGTGGTGTTGTTTGACGTGTCTGCACCTTGAACAGATCGATCTTCTGGAAGGTAGCGAGGTTGATGTCGACAGCGATGGCGGTTCTCATCACGAGAGGCATCTTGTCCAGCAGCTCCGACTCATCTGAGAACATCACAGGAGGAGACATGAACATACCTTTTCACTCACGCCTTTCTATCATTCTGTAGACATGTACGGTGTCTACTGACCCAGCATGCCCTGGGCGTCCCAGGTGTAGGTGTACCAGGTGCGGATTCTGTTCTGCACCAAGGAGGGGATGCGGTTGGTCACCATGTAGGCGACGGTGTTGTCCATGGAGGAACGAAAGTAGGTCTGCCCCGCTGTGGCTGCACCGATGACATCCCTCATCTGGGGCAGGATGACGATAACAAGAGTAAACACACGAACCAAGAAGAACCTGAGTAACTACTTGAATCAACTAGACGATGGGATGAGGAGTGTTTGTTGTCAAAATGCGACATTCAGCATCTTTGACAAGGTTGTTGACAGTCAAGACTCCACAGGGAACCAATGGACTACAACAGAGTGACGGATGACGGGTTGTTAGTGTGACATCACGCTTCGTTCATCTAACACTACTTTACCAAGACAAATGGAGAACTAGATGATGATTTAAGGATCTAATCTCAGGATCCCTCAGGATGCTGGGGTTGATGCTAGCAGCTATCTCCGTTACCTGTCCGATCAAACTGGAGAACACAAAGACGCCCGTGAAAAAGTTAGTCATCTGAAAGGCGATCTCAAAGACGGTGTGGGGCTCGTTAAGACCCCCGATGTTGATCAGACTGCGGACCGCGAAGTAGTAACAACGCAGGTACCTGTGGAGAGGCGAGGGCTGTTAGAGGGGTTCCCACGAGCTCGGCTGCACGAGTCCAAGTGGATCCACAGCAGAACCAGTATCTGTGCTGTGGAGGGGCGGTTCTGAGTTCTGCTAAAGCTCAGAATCTTTCTTCCCTTGACGTCTTGCCGCAATTTTTTTTTAACGGACAAACTTTGCTGCAATTTCTTTAGCTGCTTAAGAAAAAGGAATTAAAAAAAAAAAGAAAAACATGGAGCTGGAGCAAATCAGTGCAAAAAAAATAAAGAAAAAAAATGCATAGAAGCAGAAAATGAATTTATAAAACACAAGGCAAAAGCTACAAAAGAGAAACTACCTGGCCGAGAATGACGGACATAAAGAATGCCCCAAAAAGGTAGTTGGTCATCTGAAAGATCTGCCCGAACATGGAGTCTGGGATCGGCAACTCAGCGATCATCAGCAGGGACTTCTCGGCATAGAAAAAGCAGCTGAGGTAACTGCAGCAGCAGCAAAGAGAGATTTTAAATTTAGGATTTTCTCTGGATGTATCACAAGATGGAGATTCTGTAAACTGGAACTCAGAACACTGACTCTCTGAAGCTCTGTCTTATCTCGTGTTGCATATAGAATAAACCTGTGACTGTTCATAAAAGACATCCAGCCATGCGTGTAGACTCACTTTATTTGGTTGTAAATTATACTTTTATAAAGCTTCAATCATAAACCTACTGAATGCTGGAGGTCACAGGAGATGATGGACCAGTGTTCCTAATATTTTGTCCACCCGATTAACATACACGAGGAAGGCAAAATTAAAGAAAACCTTTAAGGCATTATCTAAATTCAGTGTTCATTTTGATATTTTATCCTAAAACCTTCATCAGGCAGCACCTTTAAACCTCTGTGACCAGTTTATGATTTATTAAACCTTCTTTTTTAATTGTACGTGAGCATCTGAAACGAGTCGTCTCAGATTTGGATAAAGACTCTAATGTAAAATCCCCTTCCATTAAAGAGAAGGCAAAACTCACAATAGTCACTCAAATAACTAGAAACTGATAAAAATAACAATAAATAAAAATTTGCTAAATTACAATTTAGTGAAATAAGATGTTGCTTTTGAACTGTGGTTGAAAAAATAATTTAAAAAAAACAAACAAAACAGACCAATGAGAGGCCTTTGCTGATGAGCAGTGGCCCAGAACACCTGTCAACAGGTGCAGAAGTCTGACTGAGAGTTACAGAAACACCTGATGGCAGTAATTGGCTCAGAGGGTTGTTCAACTACATGTTAGTTCACGGGTCCCATCAGGCTGGTTTGCTTGTTTTTTAATATTTCTGTTGAACCACAATTGAAAAGCAACGTCATGATGTTCATTATATTTTTATTTATTATTACTTTTCTCAATTTCAACTTATTCCAGCTGTTTTTTTTTTCCTCCTTTAATGGGAGGCTATGAATAAATCTGAGGACGACTGTTCCTGTACAGCTTGAAGTGTTGAGAGCGAACTGGTGGCATAATTCAACATTTCCTCCAGAGTAGAAATTAAACTGACAGAAAAATGTGTCAACATTTACATTTTTTAAATTAACGTTGTTGTGCGATATAATGTCCAAACATTTACTGTGTAAGAATTCTGAATCACGGCAATATTTTCCCTTTTTTGTTTCTGTCAAAAGCATTAATGTTTGAACGGGCGTCACCACGGCTGAATGAATAAACATCACATAGATAAAGCCATACAGCATCCCCAGTTGATTACTAATATCAAGATAATTATTTTTTGCATTATAAGCTCTTCTAAATTGTATGTTAAATTATGAAAATGTGGTTTTTATCTTACAACATAATTTGCATATAATTTGCATTAAACATCTAGAACAGAAATCTGAACATTAAACGTAGCCGTCGTCTCATGTTGTTCTCGTATTAAAGGTTTTAATGGAGAAAATCTCTTTACATCACTCCATAAATCAGATAAAACTGTCAACAGCCACAAAAAAAAACTTTCTATAAAGACGTTTGAAAGAAACTGTATAAAATCTCCCATAACGTGATAAATAATGGAATAAAACTGTGTATATAGGTGCTGCTCAAGTGGAGATTTTAGGCTTGTATGTTTAAAAAAAACAACTTATTTTGAGTAAAACGCCATAAAAGAAATGTTTTCAGCTCATTTTTCTTTTTTCTTTCTTGGAGGGAACACAAATGTAGGAATAAAAATGCATTTTAACATAGAAAACGATTGTTTTTTAACTGCAAGGCTTAATAAATGTCCACATGAAGCTTCTCCAGTCGGTGATTTCATTTTATGTTTTGCAAATTTGAACAATATTTATGTTTAAATACACAACTACAGTATTATCTCATTAAATTTGTGCTAAATTGTGCAAATATTCAACAGACAAAGAGCAGCGAAATACACTCCTAGATATTACTGAAGCAAAATAACCCAAAATTGTGCATATAAAGCATTTTGATTTAAAGAGATGTCATGTTAATGTGTCAACTGAGACCTTAAGGAGACTGAAATTAAGGAAATTTTAAAGGTGTGTGACATACAGAAAAAAAGACGCTGTACTTACGCGCTGCCGATGCCGGAGTAGACCCACTTAGTTTTGCCGATGCCCTGATAGTCTGAGGCCACGTAATAGAAGCAGGCGTTGAGGTGGAGCATGAAGAGCAGGTAGCCGATGGTGCGGATCACTCTGACGGAGGATTTAGGATATCAGTTACTACTGTCTTGATATTGTCTTCACTACTTCACTAGATTCAGTGCAGATTTTACTACAGTATCTGACTTTTGGTTTGATAGCTGCTGATGGGGTAAAGGCTCCTCATGAAGCACCGACATGTTAACGGTTAACACGGTGCTGTCATAGTCCCCCCATGTGACGTACCTCCAGATGTAGGCCTTGGCCATGATGCTCTCCAGACGATCGCTGAACTCAAAGAACGTTCCTCCCTTGAGCAGAAGCAGAGAAACGTCAGCCAGAAAGGAAACCAAGTCAAACATGTCGGTAAATATCCTGGACAGAATTAGCACGTGTGAAAGTTCACCTTGAGGAGACGATTGAATCTGAAGATGGATTTAAAACCAAACTGCGTGTAGAGCAAGTCAAAGGGAAGGATGGAGATCACGTCGACCTGCAGAGAGACACACAGATCAGGTTCACATCAGAGATATCAGGATGGTTTCTGTCTTTGACGAAAGAAGCCACGATAGTTAGTTCTTCATACTAACATGTTTATTATCGGGATGCAAGGTGGCTTGCTAGTTAGCACCGTTACCTCGCAGCTAGAAGGTCGCTGGTTCGCGTCCCAGTGAGGACGTCTAGGTGGAGTCTCCATGTTCTCCCCGTGCAGCGTGGGTTCTCTCCGGGTTCTCCGGCTTCCTCCCACAGTCCAGAAACATGCTGAGGTTAATTGGTGATTCTAAATTGTCCGTAGGTGTGAATGTGAGTGTGCTTGGTTGTCTGTCTCTAAGTGTAGCCCTGTGATAGACTGGTTACCTGTCCAGGTGAACCTGCCTTCACCCTGAGTCAGCTGGGATAGACTCCAGCCCCCCATGACCCTAGTGAGGATTAAGGTGGAGAGATCATGGATGGATGGATGTTTCTGGACTGTGGGAGGAAGGCGGAGAACCCGGAGAGAACCCACGCTGCACGGGGAGAACATGGAGACTTCACGCAGAAAGATCCCAGGTTTCCTCACGACGATCTTCTAGCTGCGAGGCGACGGTGCGAACCACCGAGCCACCGCGCAGTCCCTTTTTTAAACATCATGATTATTGTAAATAGCTACTGTACCATGAATCTCTCTGAGTCTCTGTAGTGCTTCTTCGTCATTGTTCTGTCTTTCTGAAAGGAGAAAAGTCACATTTAGCCAAATCGTAATCCAGGCTAGTGCCAGCCAGCGGTCAGGATCACGTCGTTCTTACTATGATGTCTCCTCCTTTGACGAACTGCTTGCGCGGCTGGAAGATGATGTTGTCCGTGAGGTAGATGAAGTCCGCCAGCAGGTCCACGGCGAACCAGTAGGGGATGGCGCTCTCGCTGTGGTAGGGGAAGCACAGGCGGGCCGTCATGAACCACACGTTGTAGTTGAAGGCCAGCGTCACCAGGCTCAGCCACGTGATGTAGCGCCGGTCCGTGAACGGGTCGATGGTGCTGCCCACCACGGAGTCCATCCTGTCCTCGATGGGCTTCAGCACCATGTCCACCGCCATCCAGCCGGCCTCGGTTACCCTGGTCTTAATGGCCACCTTCTCATTCTTCTTCTCCTCCTCTGCCTTCTTCTTGTCCTCCTCCTCCTTCTCCTTCTTCTTCTGCGCGTCCTCCTGCTTCTTCTTCTCCTGCTCCTCCTTCTTCTTCTTGTCTGCCTCCTCCTTCTTTATGCGCTCCTCCTCTGCCTGCCGCTGCCTCTCCTCGATGACCCTCGTGTAGTCGTCTCTGCGTAGAACTGGTGCTGAAAGCGCATCATCACAAATGAATAAACATCTAATGCAAGTCAGATATCCATCATCTTTACTTCCCAATTAAACCATCTCACAGACATCACACCTTCAGGTTTTACAGTGTCGGTACTTACTGACAGGAGGGCTGATCTCGGGGGACGAAGCGTACTGATCGGCCACTTTCTCCTTGTAGATCTGCTGCCTCTCTCTCATCAGCTTGACGATGGCTCTGAGCTGGTCGTCTGAGTACCTGTTGATGACTATGGGCGGAGGTGGAGGTGGAGCCGCCTCCTCTCTGGAAAACAGAAGTCAATAAGACAGGTTGGCTCATCACAGGAGGGAAAGAACCGGTGTGTTCCACTTAGAGGAGGTCCTGGTTCACTGTCAGGGCCTAAAAATACATGCCATGCTTTCATTTTTTCCCGATGTAAGGTCCTGCTCTCAGGCCTCCTGAAGAAACCTTTAAACAAACTTCAGATATTCCACATTGCAGCAAAATTGATCATAGAAACTCTGGTTTTAAAGGCTCAATTCATTTTAACTTTTAGCTTTTAAGTGACTTCATGTTCTTTGCTCCTAAATATTTAGCTGATATTCCAGATCCCTGGACCCTCGAACTCTGGTCTCTTAAATCTTCCCCAGAGTAGAACTACGCTAAAACATCTTAAGCCAAATCAGCTTATTTTCTTTCTAGTTTACTTAATGTAAATACAGTCGTAATTGAAAAAGTAATAATAAATGAAAATGTAATGAAAACCATGACATTGCTTTGAATTGTTGTTCAACAGAAATATTTTAAAAAAAAAACAACAAAAAAACAAGCAAACCAGCATGATGGGACCAATAAACTAATATTTAGTTGAACAACCCTTTGAGCCAATCACTGCCATCAGGTGTTTCCTGTAACTCTCAGTCAGACTTCTGCACCTGTTGACAGGTGTTCTGGACCACTGCTCATCAGCAAAGTGCTCTGATTGGTCCGGGACAGTTTTGTTTGTTTTGTTTTTTTTAAATTATTCTTTTCAACCACAATTCAAAAGCAACATCTTATTTCACTACATTATAATTTAGCTTTTTTTTTTAAAAAAATTATTACTTTTTTCAGCTTCTAGTTATTTGAGTGACTTTTCTTTAATGGAAGGGAGTAAATACATTTGAGGACAATTGTAGATGAGATTAGCTAATTTGTAGTTAATCAAATGTCATAAAAAGTATAGAGTGAGCTTCAGATTTTCAGATTTCGTTCATCATAACTGGAATGTTGATGTTCGTTTGGGCCCAAAGTAATGTTTTAATACAGTTGAGTCACAGAATAAGACAAACTAATGGCGGCTGCAGCAGACCAGCGTTCTCTGAGGAGTTGTTTT